TGTGGGGTCCTCCTTGAGGGTTGGAGCCTCCTGTCGTGAGGGTTTCACAAGGTGGGAGGTGTTGGAGGGGGGAGGTGGTATTGGGGGATTGTCGTCTCTTAGCCAGGCTGATTTAGGGTCGGATCAGTACTGGTGGGTGGGGAGAGAAGGCAAGGGGGTGGCTGCTTATAGCAGAGTGTTAGGATTTTGCTCTTTGAGGGAAGGAGCGACTTCCATGGCTACACAGTGAGCCGAAGGGGGAAAAAGCTAGAATTGAAGGATGGAAGGCAACAAGGAAATTCTCAACAGAAAAATATTGTTTGTTAGGATAAGTAGGTTAGAAGGACGATGTTGGGACGACACAGGCCGGTGCTGCGCCTCTGCTCTGCAACCCAGGGGGAGCTTGAGGCCTGTGAAGTTATGCCGAGGGTGGAAGGCATAACCAGATCACCCGACGTAGTTGGCGCGGGGGTATTGGCTCTGTAACCTGCTTAGGGGTTCGCCGATAAGGGAATTGTCGAGGGATGAAGGCACTTCCTGTCCGTCAGAGCTAGGTTGGTCGGTACTGGGGAGGGTTGTGGTGCCTTGTTACCCTAGCAGAAGGGGGTATGAGATCAAGTGAGTTTTGGTACGAGGACTGAAAGCCTGGACCAACGCCCCGTCTGTTGAAAGGGGGAATCTAGGATAGTAGGCAGTTTTAGTCTCGTCCCCCCCGCTCTCATATTTTTTTAAAGCTTTTCGAATGTCCCAAAAAGAGTTGGTTGCTTAGTGGTCCTAGGAATGATTTTTAGGACTCTGGGATCCCTACTAACTCGTCTTAGGTGGCTTCGATGCTGTTATACTCAGTGATATGCGGCTGTTTGATGCCAGAACGACGCTGATTGGTGTTGGGGTGTTGCCCTGTAACCTGTGATGCAGGAGCGTAAGGTCTGGTAGAGAGATCTGGGGATGCCTTGGGGTGGGCTTTCCACGGGATAACCAAGGGTTGCTGCCGGGACGACGCTGGTCAGAGTTGGGGTGAGTTGCGTTGCCCTGTAACCCAGCAGAAAGTGGGGGTGTGAGACCTAAAAGAGATCGGCAGGGAGTAAGACAATTTTAGAGAATGTTGGAAGGGTTTATGTGGGATTTCGAGGTTTTCAAAACAATCGTAGGACCTGTGTGGCCTATTCTCATGCTTCTTGAACAACGGTAAGAGTTCTTAGGTACCTCAAAAAGAGAATAAGGCGAGTGGGAGAAGATGGTGGGTTATCACGCATCCTACCAGTGAGGGGTTAGATGGTAGGATGGGAGCATGGTATAGCAGCAGCAAAGATGGTGGCTCGGTTGCAGTCAATCTTGCTGGAGTGAGGTAAAGTGGATTGATGGGTGTTCTTCTGAGTCGTTTCTGAATTTTGCTTAATCGTGAAGTTGTCGTAAGACATGTCTGAAGTAGCTCCAATTTCTCTGAGCCAAAGCCGGGTAATCGCTGCGATATCTCAATTTTCAAAATTCCAAAAAAAGGAAGGGGAAAATTGGTCCTAGGGATTGCTGGGCAAAGTGGCAGGTGTGCGGGCAGAAGAGGGATTAGTGCTAAGGGGTAAGTCTAATTAGAAGGGCGGGGTGGGGTGACAAAGGTCGGTGCTGGAGCGCAGGTGCTCTCTAACTAGGCGTGGAGCTTGAGACTATTGGAGCTATGCCGAGGGTGGAAGGCATAACCATCTTGTTCAATGCAGCTGATGCCGGGGCAGTGACCTTGTAACCTAGGGGCTTTTCAGCTAAGAAAAACGATTTTGTCAAAACGGATATTTTATTTTTTTTGAACGAAATTGAAATTGTCATTTTTGAGATGATTCAGGTGCAAAAACCATTAAAAATCGAGGTTTTGGTGTAAGGGGTAAGGGGTAAGGTGTACGGGGTAAGGTGTACGGGGTAAGGTGTCAGGTGCACGGGGTTCGGTGTAAGGGGTAAGGTGTAAGGGGTGAGGTGTAAGGGGTAAGGGGTAAGGGATATGTGGTAAATTACAAGGGTCAAGTGGCACAACGTATCGAGGAATATTTGACACCTTACATACATTGTTTTTGTCACAAACCATCTTGTGGCAGCTACATCTGCCCCTCTCCCAATCATACTTTAGAATATCACATACACACTACTCACGAGCCAATGTGTCCAAAGTCATTCGATGACGTATCGCGGGTATGTCATCAGCGGTAAAAAAGAAAGGTGGAAGTTGACATCGTGCCAAAAGTGGTGCGTACGTGAGCACAAAGACCCTGCATTCGTTCGTGTTACGTTGCTTCAGAATGCCGTCTACATTCCATATGTGATTGAATGGTTTCGTGTCCACCTCTTTGCCTTGCGATTTCGAACTTTCGAATATAAACTTTGCAAACCCTCCGATCACTTTTCTCGCCAACTCCATGTCGGGGTTGAGGAAGTCGTAAAATTCGAATTTTCTCCTCCTGAAGTCAGCCACGACAAGAATCCAATGGTTCTTGTGTGCAATATGGAAAGGAGCAATAATCAAGTCCATGTTACTTATAATTACGTCCTGTCACAAGCGTTCTACCTCTCGGCCTCTATATCTCATTTCATTGTTGGGTCTTCTTTGATATTCTTGACTGCCCAGTTCCAATCCGCTTGATATTCCTACCGTATAAGTTGTAAAACATGCTCCCAGGCCTCCTGGGTCGATGTTTTTTTACCATCTATCGTCTGTTTGCATCGTGACCTCCATATGATCCACAAAGTAAAAGGGCGAAGTTTACGGAAGAGGGTCCGCTGCCAGGGCTTATTGTGACTTGGTTGTTCCATGCCCGTTAAGAGTGTGAGCCGGTTGTTTGGTAATGGAGTTCCAACCGTTGCCAGCCAGAACTCCCGTGATCTGTTTCAGATCCGTTGTGCATTTGGACAGTTTAGTAGGCAGTGTTGCATATCTATATCTCATTTCATTGTCGAAAAGTTTGACGAACAAAAATGAGCTTAGCACCGATACTCTAGGAATGCGACCTTTTCCTTCTCTAATGACTATCTCATTCTCTGCGTCGCATTCTACGTGTTGTATTCCACACCAGTTGTCCAATGCTACGAGATTGAGATAGAAGTTGATGACGTTGTCGTTTAACAACTTTCGTTCGCCAGCCAGTAAAAGAAAATCGTTGCGAGTGAGTTGCAACACCTCGTTCATGTATACGTCGTGTGTGATGGCTATGAGATATCTATTCTCGTATTCCCTCCGTTCCCACCATCCCCACCGGCCCTCTTTCTGTGGTGTCAGCGGTTATTGCGCATCACCTTTGTCAGTGCATAACTCCGGTTGCAACTTACTGTCAGCCACGCTCAGGCCAACACCTGACTCAGACTCCATTTCGGATCTCTCTTCTAATGCAGCACATGTCATCAATAAACTCTCGTACGTGGCACCTGCATCCGACGACAATGTGTTTGACACATCCATGCATTCGGAGGGTTCCGCTTTTACAGATATTTGTGGCACAGATGTCATGTCAACCTCTTGAGCCTTGACAACAGTAGCCCCATCATCTTCCATGTGGCCTGCCTGCGTGGGAACGGGGTTCAGTGCGTACAAAAGTACGAAATCCTTAGAGTCACTCTCCTCCATGGTTCGCGGTTTGATTGACCTTCCAGTCGATTGACCCGCGTGAGGGATTCGTACGCAGGGCGTAAAATTTCCAGTTGTATTGGCGCTTGTCCCGCAAGACATGAAACATTTCTTTGGCCTTGGCTTTGACGGTGGCCTCGCTCTGCCCCGGATTCTCGACATGCACGCGATATAGAATCGCGAGCTCCGTCGTTTTCAACCAAGTGTCCTTTGACCGGCGAAACGTCTGCCATCCACTTCTGTATTTCACCGCCATCTTCCACTCGCCATCTTGGATGCATGACTCTAAAATACCCTCATGCCATATGATGTCATGGCCCCACTGTTCCTCACCAGTACGGGCTTGTTTGCCCTCCAAGAAATAAATAGTCGTCTAGTCAACACAGTAGTCGAGAGAAATTGGATCGCCCGGTGCGAGTTTCCACGTCTCGCCTGGTATATCAATGTCATTCTTCTCATTGCCACCGCATATTCCCGTGTCTGGCAAACCAGTAGCCTCCATGGGGGCCACCATCGAGGCAACACTGTGGGCAGCCACCGGGATGGACCTTTCATGCGAATGAACGGTCCCTTCATCGTGTGACCGCACCATGCCACCGCCCGGACCTTCAGCACCCGTGTCATCGCCCAAGTCGAGGTTGGACTCGGAAGAGTCTTCCTCGTTGTCGACGGGGTAAAAGCCATCACCCGATTTCGCGAGCTTTGCGTAGTCCTTGGACGTCAGTTAATCTTTGTGAAGATCGAACTTCAGGATCTCGCATCGAGCAACGAGAGTCTCAAAGGCGCCAGTAAGAGCACCGTGATAATGTTTCAGGGCCTATGTCGCCTTTGTTTTCCTGTATATATAATTCCCGTCAAGCCGTCCTTGCGGCGCATCACGGAAAAGGTATTCCCACACCTTCTGTCTCTTAGGTCCCAACTTGTGGAACATGTCCCTGTTGGTGTGATGTTTGCAACGCGGGATCTCGACATGGCAGGCGAATTTGTCATCCTTGACAAGTATATTGATGAACTTTGTCAAGTATGCAATGTCCTTTGCCGACTCGTCGCAGGCAATGACATTGCCTGTAAGAACTCCCACACAAGGCCCACGTGCGCCCTACCCAGCAAAAACACACCTTTCGCCTCTCCGACGAACGACCCGCTCCCAGATGGAATACACCGCACTTTCATCGCCCTCTATGCCACCATGTTTTCCTTGACACTTCCCGAACTTCTCCTCTATAACATGCACGTTTGTGAGGTCATTGAGAAGTCAGGGTTTGACAGTGATTTTTTTTAGATCCCCTCCCTCGGCGTGCAGGACAATGGTCATCATGTCTCGACTCGTCGTAGCGACATTGCCATACCGTGTGATGTCGTTCGGTGGCCTGTCCACCCGTTTCCAGGTCCCGGGGATGAGTTCGATGTCCTCCCAGCGGAACAAGTAACCCAGAACATCGCGTTGCACCTTCTGCGGTGCAAAGAAGATAAAGACTCAATTCTGGGCACAACACTTGGTCATCAATGCGTGCGGCGCATCAAATTCCTGAGAGGCCCACGCCGTGCTGAAGTTCGAGGATGAGATGTCCACGATGGCGGCCCTGCATGTCATTTTTTGCGCTGATGCGACGATATCTTCTGGCGCTGCCAACACTTCCTTCGATGGCATGCACACAGGTGGCAATGTCGCTTGTGTGTCAAGTTTGTCCCACACAATATGACGTGCGCTGGAGGCAATCCGTTTCACCTCGACCCAAAGCAAATCGAGCTTATCGATCGCGGTGTATATGAACACCTTAAAGTGAAACGGAGCCTCCTTATACATTGCCGCTGTAGGCCCCAAGCCCGCACCTTGCCTTGCATCCTCCACTCCTCCAAGCTGTCGAGGGACCGGCTTCACTTTGTTAACATGCAGCTTGTCCTGTTCCTTCTCCCATTCAACTGCGCACAGACTGTTTGGTCCATACCTGTCTTCGAGGTCCTTGTAGGATATGAAGAAGGCATCATTCCATTCATCATCCGCCCTTCCCTCGGCGCGGAACAGAACGTAGTTGAACATACGAACCATGTACCGCTCCTTGCGCATGATGTCGAGGAGACACTCGGTGTTCACTCTTGGAGGCGTGACCTTGACGTTCGTTGCGACCACCTTCCCCTTGATGAGCAGGAGCAATGCAACTTCCCTCTCACGACATATCAAATCCCCGAAATTTTTGAAGTAGGAAGGACAGAGATCCTTCCACGACAAGGTGGAGCCTTTAGGACCATCTCTTGCATATATACAACGGTACAATGTTCTTTGTCTCTTGGTCTCGTCGGTGTACGGGCCTGGCTGGCGCCCCTCCATCCTCCCCGGCATGTCAAGCGGGATTTTGCCATCGCCAACTGACAACTTTCCTTCGTTGAACATCCCGAAGAACCTCTCGACCAGTGGTCACACTGCGTCGGTGGATGTGACGAGGTTCATGTAGCCCCGGAGTTTATTACTCCAATTCTTACTGTACTCATTCTCGAGGGTCTGCTTCACAAACGCCTTGTCGCATGCCTTCCCCATGGAGGCCCTTACGAAGTTCTGCCACTTCTTCTGGTGCGCAACGACGACCTCATCCTTCTCGCTGACCTTGGCTTTGGGGGCCTCGATTCTGTTGTTATCGATCCACCATTGCCTCATGTCACGGACAACATCCTCGAATGGCAATATCATGGCGCAATTTTCGCGTGTGTTGTCGAAGGCGGAGACATTGAAATACCCTGGCGTCTGGTCATCTTCGAAATAGACGACCCGCACCTTAGAGTACGCGAGGAGGCCATAGACTTTAACTGTCGGGGAATCCTTTCTGACCAATCTCTTCATGGCCTCAACGATATGATGACCAGCTATAGCGTACCAATCGAACTCTGCGGAGTCCCTTTCGAAGAAGTCGGCCAGCGTGATCCGCCTTCCCTGGACGCCGACGATGTCGTTCGGGTCAACCGGTGCAAGCACGAGCTCGGGCCTATCCCACGCCCCCGGATCCGTGGTGATGAAACTTTCGATGGTAGTCTCGATGCCTCGCACAATGTTTTCAGATAACGAGTGGTGGTTGTAAAGAATCTTCATGTGAACAGCATGGACGTCTTGCGTAGCGAAGCCTTGCTCGTTGTACTCGAGGAAGAAACAACGCGTTGTGTCGATGGGCGCGACGTGCTGAACCGGCTCATCAACATCTTTGGGCATGCGAGGATCCACTTCCTCGCCCTCATCCCCCGATTCCCGCAGTTCTTGTGGCCTCACCCTCTGCGAGTTTTTCCTTGCGCCGCCATGACCGCCGCCACCACGACCACCGCCATGACCGCCAGATCGCCCCCCCCGCTGTTTTTCCGAGGAGGTCACGCCTCCTGGGATGCTGTCAAAGCTCCACGAGCCTCATTAACAGCATTAGTCCTGACTTGTCTCTTGTGAGTGGAAGTAGATGAAGAAGTTTCTCTTGTCCTTTTCTTAGCCTTCGGTCCTTGCATTGCTTGTGAGTAACGCCCACCCTTACTCTTGCTTTGCGACTGCGAGATCCCACGGGACGTCGAGGGTTGACCAGCAGTGACTTCCACATCACCGGCGGGGGAGATGTCATGACCATCCATCGGCGTGTCGTCGTCGTCGTTATCACCAAGTTTGTTGTCGCGGTCCTGCATGATGATCCCCAACTTCCATATCCACTTCATTACCGTCGTCGTTATGCTGATCGCCACTTCCTACTTCCTCGTCCTCGTCGTTGTCCTCATCCAGGGCAATTGCACTGTCCTGGGAATTTTCACGCCCAGCAATGTGCTGGTGCAGAATTGTTTCATGGTACTCTGTAGCCTCGTTTGAACCTTGAGCCAAATCACGACCTTCGCAGAGGGGGAGGGCGAGGGCAGAATCGTAAGATTCGCGCCCGATGTGGTCGGCGTTGGTCGAATCGATCCTCCCGCCAACTGCTTTTTCCTCCCACCCGTTGCGGACGACGTTTGTCTCCTTTTCTTAGTACCTGCGTCAAAGGGCACAAAAGCACAGTTCGCTTATTGGGCCGGAGGCAGCTTCTAGAACTCTTCCCTGTATCGCATAACCACACCTGGTAGGCTGTTGAATTGGACCAATGGTTTAGTGAGTTTGAAAGAACTGTCGACGACACGAAGGCAGCCAGTTACGCGGTTGGCGTTTGTTTTGTTGAGGAATTGTTCCGGAGAGAGCATACGGCATTCGGTTCCGTCCCCACGCACGTCGAACGCTTTCATGGAGAAAGCCTTGACGCCGTATCCTTGGAAGAGTCGCAGGTCAAGAGAGACCTTGTCCTCCTTGACCCAGTCTGTCCCAGCGCTGTCGAAGACAGACGTAAGGAAGAAGGTCCTGAACGTCCTCCCGTCGTAGGTTTTCCTACCGCCCTCAGATTTCTCAACACCCCCACAACAGTACCAAGTGGCGCCATTGTCATCACTCAAGAAGACAACGGCCCCACACCCCGGTTTATGCAAACCGCCTACCCAGTCAAGAGCCCATGTTTTGTGGTTGTAGATCTTAGACCTGTCGTACGCCCGTTTGTTTTCAATGGAGGTCGAAGCAACAGATTTTCCTGCAGGGCGCAAAGACAAAAACAATACGGATAGGCGAACAGGAATGAGCAACACATAGAAGCACTTGCTTGGGGTCCGGCAAATTAAAAAAGGCAAACCTCCCCATCGGAAGCAGAGGGTCGCGAGTTCAAGGAACGTAGGAACCCCGACCCTATCGTGGGCGAGGGTGTCCGGCGTATCCAGAACGTCGGACCCCACGGCCTCATGGAGAAGGATGGGGTCCGGTGTTCGGGGAACGCCGCATACCCGACCCCAGCACGAGTGTTGGGGATCCGGCGTATACAGAACGCAGAACCCCACGACCCCATCACGGTGGGCGAGTGTCGAGGGTACGGTGGTTCGGGAACGCCAGACCCCCCGCCCCCAGCATGGGTGTCGGGGTTCCGGCGTACCATGAACGCCAGACCCCCTACCCAGAAAGAATGGCGGGGGTTAGGCGCAACGAAGCGCCGTCGCAACCAATGATGACAACAACAAAAGTTGGTTTCCCCCCCAGATTCAACCAGCATCCGATCCGGCCAATGATGACAACAACAAATGTTGCTTTCCCCCTTCCCGATCCAACCAGCATTCGATAAAAAAAACGAAAAAAAAAAGGTGGGGGGGAGATTGGAGATTCTCCCCCCCACCTCACACACACCAATCAAGGCGCACCGAAGCGCCATCGCAACCAATGATGACAACAGCATAAGTTGATTTCCCGATCCGATCCAACCAGCATTCGAAAAAAAAATGAAAAAAAAAAAAGGTGGGCAGGAGATTGGAGATTCTCTCCCCCCACCTCACACACATCAAGGCAGACCGAAGCGCCGTCGCAACCAATGATGACAACAACATAAGTTGATTTCCCGATCCGATCCAACCAGCATTCGAAAAAAAAATGAAAAAAAAAAAAGGTGGGGGGGGAGATTGGAGATTCTCCCCCCCCACCTCAGACACCAATCAAGGCGCAACGAAGCGCCGTCACAACCAATGTTGACAACAACAAAAGTTGGTTTTCTCCCCAGATCCAACCAGCATCCGATCCGACCAATAATGACAACAGCAAACGTTGATTTCCCCCTTCCCGATCCAACCAGCATTCGATAAAAAAAACGAAAAAAAAAAAGGTGGGGGGGAGTCTGGAGATTCTGCCCCCCCACCTCAGACACCAATCAAGGCGCAGCAAAGCGCCATCGCAACCAATGCTGACAACAGCAAAAGTTTGTTTTCCTCCCCTCGATCCAACCAGCATCCGATCCGACCAAATGATGATAACAGCAAATGTTGATTTCCCCCCTTCCCGATCCAACCAGCATTCGATAAAAAAAACGAAAAGAAAAAAGGTGGGAGGGAGATTGGAGATTCTCCCCCCCCAACTCACACACACCAATCAAGGCGCACCGAAGCGCCATTGCAACCAATGATGACAACAGCATAAGTTGATTTCCCGATCCGATCCAACCAGCATTCGACAAAAAAAAAAATGAAATAAAAAAGGAGGGGGGGAGAGATTGGAGATTCTCCCCCCCCACCTCACACACTAATGAAGGTGCAACGAAGCGCCGTCGCAACCAATGATGACAACATCAGAAGATGGTTTTCCCCCCCCCATCCAACCAACATCCGATCCGACCAATAATTACAACAACAAATATTGATTTCCCCCTTCCCTATCCAACCAGCATTCGACAAAAAAAAATGAAATAAAAAAGGTGGGGGGGGGGAGATTGAAGATTCTCCCCCCCACCTCACACACCAATCAAGGCGCAACGAAGCGCCGTCGCAACCAATGATGACACGCACACACACACACACACACACACACACACACACACACACACACACACACACACACACACAC